CTCTTTTCTTCTTCTCTCTCCATTCGAGACAAACTCGTAGAGTCGTCACCAGCTAGTTGCAATATACTCCTGGGACCGTTACACACGAGGGCGCGGTTTTCCTGTATAGTAAATTGTTGAAGGTCCGGCACGCCCTAGGGCACAGCGGTGTAGGAATAATAATATATATCGCGGTATCATCTATCACGAAGATGATCCAGGGTTCGAATTCTATGACTTGGTGTTCCCCGAGCGGAGTTGGGTTGCTCTGGCACTGGAGTTTCTAAAGCTGAGCGAGCGTTTTCGGCGGGAGCGCGACTTCATCTTGCCGTTGCCTGTCCTGGGCTACTTTCTCAAGCAGGACCAGGCATCCCTTCTATCGCAATCACGCGGCAGCAATGCAATAGCGGTTGACCCGTTATATCACAATCCTTCGGATCCCAAGTAGAAGGAGTTCCGGCTGGCCTCTAATGGGATTACAATGTAATACGGCAGCATCCCGCATATCAACAAGGCGCACGATGGGGCACTCGACTACTTTGCGAAAGCCTACGACCAGGAAGGCCTTAAACGCTATCTGGAGTCCGGAAGAAGATCGATGCTAAAGACTTGTTTCTCAACGACTTCTTCAAGAAGATGTTCCCGGAGTAGCTCTGACATGGGCTGCTGATCATGATGGGCAGGTCAGGAGCGAAGAGAAGAAGAGTTGTGAGATCTCGTGTTTAGTTTGCTGTAAATAACCTCTTTGTCTGCCTTCCTAATTCTTCTACTACCACTACTGTCGTTACTCACTTAGACCATGACTTCCAGTCTTCAGGATTCAGCGCTAAAACGGTGGCACAACGAGTTTCGATATTTGCGGAGCGCATAGTCAGAACAACTGAGATGTGTATATTTCGATGCTGGTTCGATGCCCGGGATTCTCATGACGGCGACCACTTGCTTATATACCGACTTCAATGCTTTTGTCGTCTGGATATGGTATGAAGTGAATGACAAGGGAGTACAAAAGACGTTGTACTGGTTGTACTGGAGGCAGGCGTTTGATGCAACGATATATACCAGGCTTTAGGTATATCGCTGATCTTCGGCCTTCCTTTCTTTCCGTGAACGATTCTCGGTCGGGCCATAAGTATTTTTAAGCCAAATTGTGACATCTCTCTAATTCTCATGACTCGGTGAGGAGACATTGGCTCGATGTTCGGAGCTGGGGCTAACATATGGCTTGGCACACTTGGAACCAGCGCTCTCAACAACGCAAATCAACTCAAACTAACCCCTCTATTTGCGTCGATTTGCCACAGGTGCGGTGTATTTGCGTTGATTTGCGTATAT